AGGTGATAGGATTAAAAGCATGTGTGCTACCATTTTCTGGCCTCTATATCTAGTGACTGTTCTGTTCTCTGACCCCAGATAAGTTTATTAGGGTGCACAATATTTTGGGGAACGCAATATCACCACACACTATGGAGACAAAGACAGGTGGATCTCTGAGTTTGAGGTCAGCCTAATTACGTAGTGAGTCCAGGACAGTCAAGGAAACATAGTGAGACCCTGTCTCAAAACAACAAACAATGGGCTGGAGAGATGGCTCAGTGGTTAAGGGCACTGGCTGCTCTTCCAAAGGTCCTGAGTTCAATTCCCAGCAACCACATGGTGGCTCACAACCATCTGTAATGAGATCTGGCACCCTCTTCAGGCATACATGCAGACAGAACACTGTGTACATAATAAGTAAATAAATCTTAAAAAAAAAACAACAAATTTAAAAAACCAAACACACATACAATGTTATTTTAATTGGGTAGCAGCAAGCTGAAAAAGCATAAAGACTTGTCTTTTTGAAGGCTGGATATGTAGCTCAGTGGTAGAACACTTACCTAGCATGTGCAAGACCCTGGGTACCATCCCTAGTGCTTCCAAGGCTGGACATGGATCTCTGTACAAAATACTTTCATATTGTTTACCAGTCAAATTAGGTGTTTTGTTTTTGAAGCTGCTAAAACTTACAATAAATGTTTAGTGCCTTTGCCCATCTATACAAGTCTTTTTTTTTTTAAGACAGGGTTTCTCTGTCTAGTTTTGGTACCTGTCCTGGGTCTCTCTCTATAGACCAGGCTGGCCTTGAACTCACAGAAATAGGCCTGCCTCTGTCTCTGCCTCCTGAGTGCTGGGATTAAAGGCGTGCACTGCTGCCCGCCCGGCCCATACAAGTCTTAACAGTTTACTCAAGGCTAAGAAGCGAGAGGATCAAGAGTTAAACTCATTTTTTTAGCCACATAGTGAGTTTGAGACCAGCCTACAAAAACAGTGGATAAATTGGGCTCTGGATCTTAATATTTCTCCTACTTTAAACTTATCCTAAGAAGCAGATGCAGAGCTTAAGTCTTGAGTGACTTGACAGTCCATTCTGGAGACTGCCAGGGTAGTAAGAATCATACCTAGAAGGTTACACAGTCACCATAACTGTGTAACCCATATTTGCAGCGGGAGAGATGGTTCAAAAGCACAGTCAGTGATTCCAGTTCCGGGGATCTGATGCCCTCTTCTGGCTGTGGGCTCAGCATGCATATGGTATATAGATATACGTGCAGACAAAACACCCACACCCATAGAAAATGAAAACACATTTTTTTAAAAGTAAATTCATTATGAAATTTATCCATGCATAAATGGACAGAGAATACGAACAAACTATTCAAAAGAAAAGCTGTATAGGAAGGAGACAGAAATCAGGTTAGAGTCACCATTAGTGTCTGCTATATCAAAAAATGCTGATGTATTGCTAATGCTGCGCATAAAGGAAACACTGGTGAGACTCTGGTGAAGGAGCCTTGCTGAAGCTGTGTGCATCTGGAAAGCCCTTGCTTAAAAGCAGTGTGTCTGTTATCGAGAGGCTGTAAAGTCCTGGACACTGGGCTCAGCAGGCACAGCCTGATGATGACCTGAGTCTGAACCCAGAACCCATGTAAAAGTGAAAGAGTTTTTGTTGTCCTCACCCAGTTGTCCTCTGACCTACACAAGTGCACCATGGCATGTGCACACAGTAATGGTAATACATAAAAACATACTATGAAAGAAAATGATTCTGTCTTCAGCATTTCCTATGTTGAGAATGCATCTTAAATAGTTCAATACAAGGGGGAAAAATCCACATGAAGAAACTTACTTTACTGTTACTTATCAATTAGTAACATTAAAACAGTTTAAGGATCAAAGAAAACAGCTACCCAGACACAGGAATAAACGTGTAAGTGCAGAAGGTCTCTGGAAAGAATAAACATGTAAGTGCAGAAGGTCTCTGGAAAGTGGGTTGGCCGAGAGCCAGTACTGCCCTGGTGAAACAGCCAGTGGTTCTTAAGACTAAACATGTCTTCTTTCTCTTATGTTTGCTTCCAAACTTTAACCCCATCTGAGACGTACAGTGGAGTGTGCTGTGGACGATGCTCACACTTAAGTCTTATATTTTGTTCTTTTCCATAGGTTCTCAGAAGCATGAAGAATTATGATCTCTGGAAGAAGATAGGAAATCCCACCATCTGACAGTTTTTGTACTAAATGCTAGTTTTTTTCTGATCTATCGATGCAACTGCTGATGAACCGATTGGGCAGGTGTACCACACCTATTGATTTAGACTACTGCACCCTAGAGGGTGCCGGATCTTTGGGGCTAAGGCTCTGTTGGATTTGTACCTCAGAGGAAGACAAGTGGCTGATCTTGTGGGACTGTCTTCACACCAGAGGGAGAAATGGTGGCAGCCACTGAGCGAAGCCACGTCCTTTGTGCCCACACGCAAGAGCACACATTGCTGCACTGGCTCCGAAGCTGCCAGAAAAGCCACCATGTCCTTCCTTACCTCAGTTTACCTGCAGCCCTGCTGCACTGCAGATGCCCACCCTGTACCAGGTCAGGTGGGCAGATGCTTCATCCAAGGTCCAAGCCTCAAGGTCTATGCCAACACACTTCTCACATCCCGTGCCCCACGTCCTCTCCCCCAGCATCAGGCTCACTGTGGAATTGAGCCCAACCGATAATCATGTGGCTTCAGGGTTGGCTCAGTTGCTAAGAAATCAGTCTTCAGGAGAACTGGGGTGGTTTGGATGAGGGCTGTGGAAACGACAGGCAGAGGAGAGTTTTCTGGTGTCAGAGGAAGAAGACAGAAATTGGCCATTCTCTTTCAGTCTGTGTGGCTGAATTTAACGGAAGCTTTATTCTATTACCAGTGAACTTTCTACATAATTGTTTTGTAAACAATTTTTATATTTATGAAAATGTTTGCTTTTTCTTCCTACTTTCTAAAAAACGGTTGGTTCTGAATTTCCTGGCTGGGCACAGGTGTACTGAGTCCCTCAGTGGTCCATCTCCATGTACTCAGCCTCCATCTGGATGACCACCATGCTGTCTGCCCTTGCCCTTGTCCAGTCTTCTCTCACCCAGGAGACTGTCCTTGGTCTTTTCTTCCCCGGATGCTCTCAGACCAATGACCAGGAATGGCTGTCTCTGGAACTCAGTTTCCTGTGCTCTGTCTTTTTCCCTTTTCCTTTGGCTCTGTGGGTTGCCTTTGCCTTTTGAGACTTGCCCAAGGCCTGGTCCAGTTCTAAGGTAACTGCTGCGTTGTGTGTGTCCACAGCCATAGCCCAGCCTCACCTTGTCAGGAGCAGCCTGGGCTGTGAGCCTGGGACATGTTGTTAACCTGGCTGCCCAGGATTCGGGGATCTACAGCGGAGAGTTTCAGAGTGTTGCTGGCACTGGCCTGCCTCAGTCACAGGAGCTGTTCTTCCCTCTTTAACCTGCCTTTAAAATAAGAAGGGAGCTGGTGTGTGGCTCAGGGCCATCCCATCATTGCACCCCCACCTCAAAAAAGAAGAAGAAAGAGTGAATATTATGAGTGAGTGCACATGGGTAAGACCTTGCCCATCTAAGCTAGGTAGTAATACGTGTGTTTTCAAGGGAGAATGACCTACAGTAGCCATAGCTGGGATTTGAATGGGCAGTTACTAAGTAATAGTGAGAGATGGCAGAACATCATCGAAACCCACATAGCCTGCAGAAACCCCTTAACTCAGCCAGCTGGAGTTCCCCAGTGAGCATCCTGAGCAGAGCAGAGTGTTCCCTCAGGTAAGGCTTCCAAGTAAAAGAACAAATAGCAAAACTAAAAATACCATCATCAAATTCGGTGCTCACAACATCCTGCAGAAACCAGCCGGGGAAGCTGAAACAGTCAGCTGGAGTTCCCTTTCTCCAAGCTTGCAGCCTCCCTACCCACTGTGGCACTTTCATAGCAGGGCCAAGCAGTGGCTGAGTCCTCTGACCTTGGGAAGGTATCTGGGAATGAATTGCTCCCAGCTGTGTTCAAGGATGTCGTATTTTGACTCTTGGACTATTGAATTGTTTTGTCCTAAAGTTAGGGGGGGGGGTTCACATCCCCAGACAAAGGGCTTTGTGAGACACTTTGAGATAAACATGTCCCATAGCCAGGCTTCTTAGCTAGCACATGACATCAACACACTGTACATACATTACAACATGAATGTTTAAAATAAAAATTTCACCACACATACATCAAGTAATTAATCCCCCCCCCCCCATTTTCAAGTCCTAAAGTTAACTTAGAGCCAGCCTCCGTTCAGGCTTCATGTCCACATTACATTAAGCTTTCAGGGATACCACTGCAGCCGTCCTCAACTGGAGGCAGAAACGGTGTTCCCAGTGTCCTGGGAGCCTGTGATGAGCAGGAAATAGGCAGGTCACGGGGATGTGTTTTTAAATGTTGGTCCTAGTGGCCAGTTTCCTTTTTTCCAGGCAGGGTTTCTCTGTGTAGCCCTGGCTGTCCTGGAACTCACTCTATAGACCGGGCTAGCCTCAAACTCACAGAGATGTGCCACCACTGCCTGGCCAGTTTCCTTCTTTTTACCAAGTCATTAATGCATCCTCTGAGGAAAAGGAAGGTGCAGATCATGTCCTCTGTGATCCTTCGGTCCCTCATGTGTCACCACCCTGACATAAGTCATATTATAGTTGATGCTGGATAGGCCAGACCCAGCTTGCTTCTGAAGTTGTCCAGGCCTTCCTTTGCCAGCTTGGTCCTTGCTTTCTGTGGATTAATCATCTCTACAAATTAAGCAAAAGCCCCATAAGTGATGCTACCATTAAGTGCCCCAGGAAGGGTGTCTCTGTTGGTTTCATCTGATATCTGCACCATGAAAAAAGCATACTGTGACTGAAAAGAGAGGTAAAATATTTCCCAAGAAGCAGGAAATAACTGATCACGTGGATTGTCCAAGCTTCTGGAAAGTTCACTGTTGTTCTTGGCATGTGTATATATCATTTTTTGTTTGTTCATTGGTTGGTTGGTTTTTGTTTTTGGGTTGTTGTTTTTTTTTAACCTTTTGTCATATAGTAGTAGCAAAATTCTTTTCCGAACCAGTAGGGTCGTGTGAACTGTGATGTGTGTGTGTGTGTGTGTTTTTTTTTAACCTTTTGTCATATAGTAGTAGCAAAATTCTTTTCCGAACCAGTAGGGTCGTGTGAACTGTGACATGTCAGAATTAGATGGGCCGGTGCGAGTCAGTCTGTTCTGTGGGAAGTGGCACTTGCTTGGCATCTCGGACTTTCAGGGCACAGCTTTCCAGCATCCTGGGTTTAGTCAGAAGTTGAGAGGGATGGTGTGTTGGTTTCTTAAGGTAGTTGACATTGATAGTCTGGCAGAAGCTACGTTTCTGATTGAACATGTTTTGTCTCCATTGTGCTGGGCTGTCTGATCAGAAGAGCTGGATTTCCTCTACTCGCCTGGAAACTTTATGTTCTGAACTTTGTTAAGGCTCTGCCTGATGTATGTTATCTGGTTTTAGGCTGAGTCCATGAACGATGCACCATAGTAAAGAGCCCGGTAGTGAAGAAGGGAGAAGAAAACAGGAAGTAAACTTGGCAGTAACTTAGGCCTGGTCAGACAGCTCTCACATGGTCAGGGGTACGACATCACTCCTCTTGTCTCTGTCTCCTCCATGACTAAATCTTTTTCTAAAATGGTTCTTCTTAGACCTGCATGATTAAAAGAAATGATTTGCCTGAGGCGTTGAGAGGGAGCTCTGATCCACTTTTCTGGATAGATTTCACGAAAAGCTGTCCAATGGGAAATGTCCTGGTGATGTGGATTATGATTTATGCACAATTCCTAAATGTGACTTTGAGGGCTCTGTCTTTTTAGTGAGTTGTTGCATACTTGGCTTTCTGGGAATATTGTGTGAAGACCAGTCGATCCAATGGCTCATCTTGTTTCTTGTTTAGAAAGCATTTTTTGTTGTTGAATTTCATGAGCTCCTGTTTTCTCTGCCTTAAGGTAACGGAGAAAGTCTTAATGAGGACTTCTCACATGCCGGATGAGTTCAAGCACATTAAACACTATCACTCAGGAAGTTACTGAAATGTCCAAGTGTCTGGAAGGTTCTTTCTCGTTTCCCATTCATTGCTGGTGTTTTGTCTTTCCGTGTAATCGCAGAAAAGTTCCGTAGGAGTGGAGAGTCGGTGGACTGGGCAGGGACTCTCCTTGCGTGTCATTGAAGGCAGCCGTGATAGAGTCAGCGCCAAGCATCAGCATGCTACAGGGAAGTCCAGGAAGTTGGGGACAGAAAGCAGGGGATCACTCCTGGGTCCCCAGCAGTGTGGAGGCTGTGACTCCTGGGTCCCCAGCAATGTGGAGGCTGTGACTCCTGGGTCCCCAGCAGTGTGGAGGCTGTGACTCCTGGTCCCCAGCAGTGTGGAGGGCTGTGACTCCCAGGTCCCCAGCAGTGTGGAGGGCTGTGACTCTGGTCCCCAGCAGTGTGGAGGCTGTGACTCTGGTCCCCAGCAGTGTGGATGGCTGTGACTCCTGGTCCCCAGCAGTGTGGAGGCTGTGACTCCTGGGTCCCCAGCAGTGTGGAGGCTATGACTCCTGGGTCCCCAGCAGTGTGGAGGGTTGTGACTCCTGGTCCCCAGCAGTGTGGAGGGCTGTGACTCCTGGGCAGGGCTTGGAGGGCTGTGACTCCTGGGTCCCCAGCAGTGTGGAGGGCTATGACTCCTGGGTCCCCAGCAGTGTGGAGGGCTGTGACTCCTGGGTCCCAGCAGTGTGGAGGGCTATGACTCCTGGGTCCCAGCAGTGTGGAGGGCTATGACTCCTGGGTCCCCAGCAGTGTGGAGGCTGTGACTCCCGGGTCCCCAGCAGTGTGGAGGCTGTGACTCCCGGGTCCC